ATGTATGTATGTATGTATGTATGTATGTATGTATATATATACATACATATATATATTGTACATATATATATATTAAGATGTCATTAATCACTTAACTGGTCATATAAGTCAAGGGCTACTTGTGACTGGCGGAACTTAAGTTCCTTCATGTTCCTTCCTATCACAGAGGACTAGGAACTTAGTACCTTAACTAAGCTGTTTTTTTCACAACATTTTAAAGCCCTCACCTAAGTTGCTAGTCCTTTGCAAGGGGAAAAGAAAACGAAAATGGGAGTTGCTCGACTTCTTGCTCCATTTTGGTAGCTGCAAAAAATACCTACTCTAGCCGCCTATAAACCAGGCGTTTTTTGCCCTCTGCCGGACTCCAATCCCCATCGTCCCCCGCACCATTCAAGGCACCTGGGCATTCTGCAGGATGTTGTTCACCAGGACAACTCTACGCCGGGCGTTGAGCAGCTTCTTGACGTAGGGATCCAAATCCAAGGCGACTTTCTGGTCCTCATTGATCCGGCAGAGCTCTGGGTGAGAAGGAGAGGGAAATTATGGGGAGGGGGGTGGGGGCTTCTGGGGTAGGGGGCCAAGGGGAGACCCCGGAGCGAATGTCCGGACTTACCCACAGCCAGGCTGTCGATGTTCTCCCGCAGCTCCACTTGGCTCTCCCTGTTGGACGAAAGACGACTTGAATTGGGTCTGGGGGCTTTTTAAAAGCTGCACCTGACGGGTTTCAACCCCCCACCTGAAGGCAGAAGCCCAACCTGGGCTTAAGAAATGGGGAAGCTGCACCAGGTGGACGCCCGCCTGCCTGCCTCTTGAGCACCTCTCAAAGGGAAGCTGCACCTGACGGATTTCAGACACACACACACCTACCTGCCTGGCTCTAAACTCAGAAGCCCGGGCTCCCCTTAGCAACAGGGCAGCTACACCGGATGGACACCCGCCTGCCTGCCTGTCTTTGAGCCACCCATCCACCCAAATCTGACCTTGTGCAGGAAAAAGAAGCTGCACCTGATGGATTTCAACCTCCCTCCCCCCCAAATCTGCCTGGCTTTTAACTTAAGAAGCCCCCCCCCTCACCTTCCAATCAAGGCAGCTGCACCAGGCGGATACCTGCCTGCCTCTGAGCCCCCACCCCATACACACAGCCTATCTGCAGGAAAAAGGAAGCTGCACCTGACGGATCCCAGCCTTTTGAACGCCAAAGCCCACCCTGGCCTTAGAAACGGGGGGCAGCTGCACCGGACGGAGCCCCGCCTCCCTCCCTCCGAGCCCCTCCCTCTTGTGGGCGTGGCCAGGTCGAAGAAGCTGCACCTGACGGATTAACNGGACATGGTTTGCTACACAGCTCAAACCCTCGTCCGCATTCTCTCTCACGGAGGCTACCGGAAGATCCTCGGGCAGGAAGGAGACGCCAACTGTAAGTGTGGAAGCGTTTGCAGACCCGGCAGAAGGAGGGAGGGAGGGAGGGGCTGAGCAATCCGTTAAGAAACCCCGGAGAAACGGGCGCGAAGGGGGGAGGGGTGTCCCTCTTCCTGGACCCACGGAAGCTCCTCGCTTTGCAGACCTCGCCACGGAAATGTCCACCTGGGAAGGCGTGATCGTGACCCCGTCGGAGAAGGCTTACGAGAAGCCGCCGGAAAAGAAGGAAGGGGAAGAGGAGGAAGATAATCAGGAAGAGCCGGTTGCTGGGGAGGAGGAAGAAAACATGGAAACTCAAGAGTGATTCGGGGGTGGGGGACCCTCAGGTACCTTTTGAACCCCATTGCTGCTCCGTTCTCCCTCCGAAGGTGGTCTTCCCAAAACGGCCTCAACAGCTGGGAGATCAGCCGAGTTAGATCTTCCGAACGGCCGCCTTCCAGATGTTGCCCCAAATCAGGAGCCAATCCTAGCCAGGATTTCAAAAGGGGCTTCTTGGTGAAACATTTTGCAGCCTTGGCCGTAACTTGAGATCATCCCCCAAAAAAGCAAGAATCGAAATGACAATAAAATCAAAGGGGGGAAAATAATTTTTAAAAAAATCACATTTCTGCCTTCCGGAAGACTCACAACCTATCCTGCTTCTGTCTTTTCAGGGGGATTCCGCCTTGTCCGAAACGCGATGGGATGAGCCAGTGACGGGATCGAGTCCTCCCTCCTTTCTGTCCCACTTCTTCAATGTCTTTGTTTTTTTATAACTCGTTACCATTAAAATGGGGGTGTCCCTTATAAAAATGTGGTGTTTTGTACAAAAGCTTTTGTGATTCTTCATTGCTGTCGAACTCCGCATTGTCACCGATGAAAAAATAATAATAATAATAGACATTTCCTCCCCAAGATCCCCTTCCAATCCTTTTAAACAGTCCTCACTCCAAGTGGGGTAGAAAAAAAAATATCCTGTGCTAAATTTCCTGTGGTTTCAGTTATTTTTCTGAATTTTTCGAGTCAGCCCTCGATGCTCCCTGCAATCTGAAGCTGGGACATTTATTATTTGGGGGGGGGGGGATTGCATGGCCTCCTGTGCTTTTCCAATGGATTCACGGCCCAAAAGCCAGCTGCAAATGTATTTCACTGCACATTTTTACTTAACAAAGTTGGAAAGAACACTAAATCCTGGTTTGACCGTTAATTGCTGCTTGGTTGAAAAAAAAGCTCAGTCACGCTCTTCCTGGATATTTGTCATTCTTACAGCCCTAATTTTTTTATTTTATTTTTCCCTTTCAAAATCAGCCTGCAGGAGACAAAAGAGTTCATTTTTGCTGAAACTTTTTATTTTTATTTTATTTTTCCCAGGAAAAAAAAAAGTGGGAGAATCAAGGTCCAAACTTTCAGGTTATTGTTTATTATTCTTCCGCTCCTATTAAGGGAGTCATCCTTCCATTCTCTATTTCTAAACACACTTGGCGACTCAAAATATTTCCATTTTCAAATACACTGCGACTCAAAATATTTCCATTTTTAAACACACTGGCGACTCAAAAGATTTCCTTTTTTCCTTGCCGCTTTAAACACGGGTTCCAAAATTAGCCCGGCAAAATTCCTCTCTCTGGGCTGCACCCCCCCAAAAAAACCCCAATTTTGGTCTCTTTCCAGATTTGCTCGGGAGTTTGTGGGTGCCTGTAAAGCGGCTACAAGCTCGGATTATTGTTTTTATTATTATTATTATTGCCTTCAGGCCCCCCCCCCCCCTTCACTTGCTGGGAGAGCTATGGGGGTAGTTGCTACTGGCATCCAGGAAGGCCTTCCTCCGGGCAGTTTCTTTACCCACGCTGTGGTTCAGCCGCCTCAGGCGTTCCTGCCGGGGAAAATGGGTTAGGTGGCATTTTAATTTTTAATTCCTCAAAATTTCATTGATGTTCTTTGCACGCAGAATCCGACTTCCGACGGTCCCTTTAAAGTGACTGGTTCAGAGTCGAAGCTTGTCTTTCACACTTAATGACGATGGTCACGCGAACAAAACTCAAGAGGCTTGCCAACTGGCTTGCATTTATGACGGTGGCAGTGTCTGACTCGCGTTTACGACGGTCCAAGCAAAGTCAATGGGAGAGCCGGATTCACTTAACTGTGTGATTTAACTGATTTGCTTAAGAGCTGTCTCGCTTAGCAACATACATTTTGTGGCCGTTGAGGACTACCTGCATTTTATTCCTTTGTTTATAAAATTTGTAGCCCCCCCCCCCCTTAACCGACCAACCTGATTTGATAACCACATTTGGTGTTGGTTGTTAAGTGAACACTGCAGTATTCAGTTTTGCAATGACGCAAAACAATTGTTTGCTATGGATTTTATATATATATATATTATATTATTTATATACATATATACATACACATACATATACGTGTGTATATATACATATATATATATTAGTGTCACAACCCTTGGTAAGCCCCAATTATGGGAGGAAGCTAACTGCTTCCAACATCTGTCAATCGGCTCGTCAGAAGAGTCCATCACGACAGAAACCCAATATTTTTACTGTTGCCTTTGCTATATTTGTGTTTTTTTTATTTGTGCTGATAAATAAATAAAGGGAAACTAGTATAGATCTATTTCATGAGAGCTAAATAGCTTGAAATAGATCTATACTAGTCTCCCTTTATTTATCAGCACAAATAAAAAAAACCATATATATATGTGTATATATACATATATATATGTGTGTGTGTGTGTGTGTGTGTGTGTATGTATGTATGTATGTATATATATACATACATATATATATTGTACATATATATATATTAAGATGTCATTAATCACTTAACTGGTCATATAAGTCAAGGGCTACTTGTGACTGGCGGAACTTAAGTTCCTNGAAAGTGAATGTCAGAGGTTAGGATTAGATTTTGAAAAAGGATGATATCAGATATGCCCAAGAATAGTATTATATTAAAAAGATGTAGTAAATATTAATTGAAAAAGGAATACGTCCTGATATCTATCTATCTATCTATCTATCTATCTATCTATCTATCTATCTATCTATCTATAATACTAGACTCTGCTCATTTGATTAACGTAGTAATTTTTTTATCTGTATTAATATTGGTTTTGTACCAAAATGAATGATACTCAGATGCCACACTGTCCATGCAATGATATTGATGATATTGGTGTCCGTTTAAAAAATAACAAACAACTTTACCCTGTAAATTTACATTCGCATCTCGCTTGAGATCTGAGAGCAAAGTAAGTTTAGAGAAGCAGAATTCTTGGGGAGGGGGGAACCCCAGCCCAAATAATTTAATTTTAGGCCCTTTTTTTTTCTGGAGAGGCGCGTGGCTGGATTTGAACTCGCTGCAAAGAATGCCAGCCCTAGTTTTAGCTATATTTGTCCCGAAATCGAGTCCCATCAGGTGAAACATGAGCTCGTGAGGATGCACGCATTCATTTTTCGGTTAATATTTACTCCATCCTTCTAGTAGTACATAAGGCTGTTCTTGAGCATATCTAATATTATCCGGAGTTTTCTCCTTCTGAGTTCACACTTGATAAGATTTCAGCACTCGGGCGGAAGTGAAAAACCAAAGCTCTTGCCGACTTTCTCTCTCTTCCTTCCAGGGACATTATGCAGTTATGAATAATCCCACTCGGCAACCTCTGGCCCTCAACGTGGCTTACAGGTACCTTCCCAAAAATTGGGACATCTATTTGTGGTTTTTTTTTACGGATTAAAAACCTTCTGGTCATCCTTAAATCGAGCGCTTCAGTTTTCCAAGAATCGGGGGAGATGAATCCCACGCTGCTGGCTTTCCGCTTGCTTTTTTTTTGGGGGGGGGAGATCAAAACCACAACAATTCGAATTCCCAATCAGGGAACAGCTATGGAGAAACTTGACTTTCTGCATTTTTCCCCCGCCTCCCCTCCCCAGGCGCTGCCTTCAGATCCTGGCCGCAGGCTTGTTCCTTCCTGGCTCGGTCGGCATCACCGATCCGTGCGAGAGCGGAAATTTCAGGGTCCACACCGTTATGACCCTGGAGCAACAGGTTAGCGTCCTCTGTGGTCATCTGTCGCCTTAAAAGTCAGTCCGAAACCCCCCCCCCCAAGTTCCCCCCCTGGATGTCCCCATTAGATACGGCCGCATCGCACGATGATAGTCGCGTATTTTAAACGTGTGTGTGTGTGGTTTGCAGCTTTGTTAGAAATTCTTTTGGTTAAGACGCACAAGGAATCGGTCTCTCGCTCAGCTCAGCCTGGACGTCCCCTAAAGTACATCCTCGCAGGTTTTAAAGTTGTGTTTGCCAGCGTTAGAAAGTCTCCTTCGTGAGCCCAGCTTCGCTTCTCTCTAGGGGTTGTCCAATTTTGTTCAGTTTATTGTCACTGCACCTCATACAACGAAATGAAGTGCCATCTTCGGTGTAACATTACGACTATAAAAATAAAACGCAAACGCGCGTCCTTCGTTATCCTATCTATAAAATTGAATTGAAAAACCCCAGATATTGCATTAATATCTCACTATATACCGTAGAATTCAATATAGTTACTGCCCTGAGATAGAAGCTGTTTTTCAGCCTATTTCTCCTTGTTTTTATTGCTCTGTACCGGCTGCCAGAGGGTAATAGTTAAAAAAAAAAAGGAGGGGGGGGGTTTGGCCAAAATTTAAGCGGAAAAGATATGCAGCGTTGAATAGAAAGAGCCGCGAGGCCGTGAAAAGGTGGGTTTAAGTTGCCAGGTCTGAAACCCCCTCCTCAGGACAGACTCAATCTCCCCCTCCCTCCTTAGGACATGGTTTGCTACACAGCTCAAACCCTCGTCCGCATTCTCTCTCACGGAGGCTACCGGAAGATCCTCGGGCAGGAAGGAGACGCCAACTGTAAGTGTGGAAGCGTTTGCAGACCCGGCAGAAGGAGGGAGGGAGGGAGGGGCTGAGCAATCCGTTAAGAAACCCCGGAGAAACGGGCGCGAAGGGGGGAGGGGTGTCCCTCTTCCTGGACCCACGGAAGCTCCTCGCTTTGCAGACCTCGCCACGGAAATGTCCACCTGGGAAGGCGTGATCGTGACCCCGTCGGAGAAGGCTTACGAGAAGCCGCCGGAAAAGAAGGAAGGGGAAGAGGAGGAAGATAATCAGGAAGAGCCGGTTGCTGGGGAGGAGGAAGAAAACATGGAAACTCAAGAGTGATTCGGGGGTGGGGGACCCTCAGGTACCTTTTGAACCCCATTGCTGCTCCGTTCTCCCTCCGAAGGTGGTCTTCCCAAAACGGCCTCAACAGCTGGGAGATCAGCCGAGTTAGATCTTCCGAACGGCCGCCTTCCAGATGTTGCCCCAAATCAGGAGCCAATCCTAGCCAGGATTTCAAAAGGGGCTTCTTGGTGAAACATTTTGCAGCCTTGGCCGTAACTTGAGATCATCCCCCAAAAAAGCAAGAATCGAAATGACAATAAAATCAAAGGGGGGAAAATAATTTTTAAAAAAATCACATTTCTGCCTTCCGGAAGACTCACAACCTATCCTGCTTCTGTCTTTTCAGGGGGATTCCGCCTTGTCCGAAACGCGATGGGATGAGCCAGTGACGGGATCGAGTCCTCCCTCCTTTCTGTCCCACTTCTTCAATGTCTTTGTTTTTTTATAACTCGTTACCATTAAAATGGGGGTGTCCCTTATAAAAATGTGGTGTTTTGTACAAAAGCTTTTGTGATTCTTCATTGCTGTCGAACTCCGCATTGTCACCGATGAAAAAATAATAATAATAATAGACATTTCCTCCCCAAGATCCCCTTCCAATCCTTTTAAACAGTCCTCACTCCAAGTGGGGTAGAAAAAAAAATATCCTGTGCTAAATTTCCTGTGGTTTCAGTTATTTTTCTGAATTTTTCGAGTCAGCCCTCGATGCTCCCTGCAATCTGAAGCTGGGACATTTATTATTTGGGGGGGGGGGGATTGCATGGCCTCCTGTGCTTTTCCAATGGATTCACGGCCCAAAAGCCAGCTGCAAATGTATTTCACTGCACATTTTTACTTAACAAAGTTGGAAAGAACACTAAATCCTGGTTTGACCGTTAATT